TATTATCCATTGTTTTGCCCAGGTGCACTGGGCAAGATAATTTCAAGGACTTCTAGAACACAACTCCCCTAAAAAAAGTTTATTTTATTTTTTCTTTTCTATGTGCCCTATCCTGATCTCACTCAGCACTTAAAGGGTATTTTCCAAGCAAAAATGCCACTAGCTCCAGTCTTAGCAAAGAGTTAGCCTTGGACAAACTCAGTAAGAAGATGACTGACTTAGAAAGTTCTATAATATTAGGTATATATAAGACAACTGTATAAAAATAATAAAGGCCTTCAAGGATGCTGCTTTCAGACCACTTCACATGTTCTTATATCATTTAAACATTTTTTTAAAATTGTATATGTTGCAACACAAGTATGATTTATATAGTAAAAATTCATATAATTTTGAGATAAAATAAAGGATTTTTTCACCAGAATCTTCATAATCAGAAAAAAGATCTTATCCCTAAACAGTAAGTTTAGCCAAAATATATAGAGTTCAATCATATTGATTAGATGATAACATTAAGCTATGTGTATATAAGTTGCATTTTATTGATTTTTTATTAATTCAGTACCAATCCCAATTGTGTTAGAAAAGAGGGCTTCTAGAGACTCTTATAGGGATTGCTGTGGAATCCTGTGAGATGATGTAGCTTAAGGATTAACAGTATTCTTATACTAGTTCTGCCTTTTACTAGCTGTGTGACCTGGACAAGTTATTTTCATCAAGAAGAAATGTCCTAACATTGTGTAGGTGAAGTGCTTACCCCAATACCTGCCTTTTATTTCCTAAATGATAGCTGTTACTAGTCATGTGTTGATTAAACCACTAGATACATTCATCATTGCACAAACATCAGAGTGTACTTACACAAAGCTAGATGGTATAGCCTACTATACAACTAGACTATATGGTACAGCTTATTTCTCTGTCTACAAACTTATACAGCATATTACTGTACTGAATAATGTAGGAGGTAGCAACACAATGGAAAGTATTTGTGCATCTAAACATAGAAAATGTACAGTAAAAATATGGCATTATGATCTTATGGGGCCACTGTCATATATAGGGTATGTCGTTGACCAAAACATTGTTATGTGGTCCATGCTGTATTATGAAAATCTAAGAAACAGTGACTTTTTCTTTTTGTGTTATCTCATGCCAGATAATTTACATACCAAAGGCTCCAGCTTATTCAATAGTTATTGTCCAAAAAATATTAATTAAATACCTCTTAAATGCCAGTCACTCTTTTATATGCTGGTTCTACAAATATAAATAAGACAAAAATATTTACTGTCCTCGATATGACATTCCAGTAGGAGAAAAAGATAATTAATAAGTACATAGATTAGTGCAATCTCAGGAACGGATAATTACTAAGAAGAAAAATAAGGCAGGGAAAATGTAAGGAAAATCAGTGACAGGGCTGACAAAAAGCAGCTTGCTATTTTAAGGAAAGTAATCAAGAAAGGCTTCTGGGAGGAATAATTTGCAATGATTCAAAGCTCTAAAGTATCTAAAAACTGATGTTGGAGGAGTCCAGGTAGAGGACAAAATGAATGCTTGGCATATTTGAGGAGCAGCAAGAAAGCCAATACTGTGAGAACAGAAAACATCTAGAATGTTTAAGATGAAATCATAAATGTAGGCAGGGACGGGATTGCATATGGCCTTTTACACTATATAACGATTTTGGATTTTATCTGAGAATAATAACTGAAACAGGGATATGATGTAGCCTGATATGTTTTAAAATATAATTCTGAGTGCTGTGGAAAGAATAGCCTATGGGTGCCAAAATGTATGGAGCAGGAGAGAGATGTCAGCACTTATCTTAGAACATAGAAATCTCTCTCTCTCTGTCTCTCTCTCTCTCTCAATTTGCACATACATACACCATTAACAAGGCAGTTTCCTGCATGCATTTTTAAGAGAAAGACTGACTTCTAATCAAGTGGTAACACATATTTTACATATTAATATTAACAGATGCTTAGTTCTATTAAGGTGTGATTTTTAAGCATTTGTCTATGCAATCAATTTCACAATACTTTTATTCTTTATAATTTGTGACTGAATGCTAACACAATGATCTACTTTTTGTTCTTTATTTGCAAATATTTGCAATAATTCAGGGAAAATTCAAAGAAATATGTCATTTGATATATTGCTCTTTGAATATCTCAGGTAATAATAGATATACATCCCAAGCCTTGGAATAACTTATTTTTAAAATGTGAGATTTTTAAAAAATGTATCTGATTAGTAATTTTCCAAATTAGGATTTGTGGCTTTTTAATCTCTTGATGCATAACGGTTTAATGTACAACTGTTACTCTCCATTACAGAATTTCTAAATACACATCCTTCTTATTAGCTTTGGTAAGATTTATCCACTAATTATAATTTAACCTAACATCTAGTAGGAACTTAATATATGTATGATTGATTACATTGTTTTATTACTTTTATAGAAGAATTTTCTTAAAGTCATGAGATAATTGTGTTTTCAAGAAAAGCATATGAAAAAGTTTATACATTTCAGAATCATAAAGATCATTTCATTTACTTTTTACTATACTCAGAAAAGGATTATTTCACTTAGCATAAAGTCCTCCAGCATTATATATTTCAAAAGAACTAAGAGAGTAAATATCAACTGTCTCACAATAAAGAATGATAGGTAAGCAATGCTATGAATATCTTAATTAGCTTGATTTTATCATACCACATCATGTATATATATCAAAATATTACATTGTACCCCATAAATGTATACAACTATGATGTGTTAATTAAAAAACACTAATAAAACCCAATATTTTAAACAAGAAAAAAGAAAGGTAAAGAAGAAACAAGGAAGGAAAGCAAAAAGGAAGAATGTAATTTAGATACCTTACAAAGAATTGTTTTTAAGAGCTATCATTTTTCAAGTGTTTAAGCTGTAAGGACCAAGCATTGATGCGTGAAAATAAATACACACACACACACACATTTCTTCTCTTAGAAGACATTTTAACATAAAATGGATTCTTTTAGTAATCAAATTCAGTGTACCATTTACATTTGTGAACAGAAAAAATGTGTCTGAGTCATATAAATAAAGATAATTTCATAATGGCCTACATGTCATTTTATCAGAAATATCTTGCATGAACCCCTACTAACATTTCCCTCCTTTCCTGTAGTCACTCACTATCCCTTTACTTTGTGTAAGTTTTTTCATAGTTGGCATCACTTTTTCACACTGATTTATTTATCCATGTGATCAAATTGTCAAGATCCCTGCACTATCCCACTGAAAAATAAGATTTTTGTCTGAGACCAAGGACTGCTTGAAATTTTGCTGAAGATCCCTCTCTATTATTCCCAATTCCTAACATCCTCATGAATCAATTGTTTTGATAGCTCTGTATCTATGTTACCTTTACAGTATCCTTCTTTGGCTTTTTGCGTGTGTTTAACTCCTGCATATGTGCATGCACATGCTTGCATGTGGCATTTCCCTTCCACATTCCCATTGTACACACATAAGTGCTGCAATAACATTTGCATTTGTTGATGAAGAATGTTTAAGACCACAAAGGACATCAGGACATTGTAAACAGAAAGGGGAAGTACCATTTTGGGGTGGTATAAGACTGAGCAGAAGCTCATCCAAACAAGTAAGCCAAAACTATATTACCTTCTGGGAACTTACAATCCAAGAAAGGCCAATTTTATTATGGATTGAAAATTCGCTAATTCAAATATGTAGTTCTCATGACTCATGATTGTATTTCTAGCAACTTGAGGTGTCTCCAATTACTATGCTTGATGTTTTAATATTCTTCTTTTCTTTGCTGGTAAAAAGCAGGGTTTTAAACTGTCAAAACTAACATATAAGAATAATCAATTTTTTTGTGCTTCAAGTTGTATTTATTTCTGATATTTATCAGGAAATAAAAAAAATAATGAAAAGTTTCTTTTTTGATGAGGGGTGGTTATTAATCAATTAACCATTATCAATTCTTAACTTTCTTCTTCATTAGTGATCCCTAACCATGAAATTAAAATAGACTACCAAGGCTTAGAGTTAAAAATACAAAATGTAAATAACTTTATTCAGGTAGAATAACTAACAAGAAGTTCCTTCCTTTGATGTGACTATATTAAATTATAAACTAGCTAGGGGGAAAATGTTTGTTTATATTTTTAAGATGTTTTTTAAAAGATGAAGATAACCTAGACTTCTAATTCCATAAGGAAGGACCAAATACAAAGAAAATAATTATTATTTAAAAATCACGCTGTACAATTATTTCTCAGCTGAACTGCTTTTGACCAAGAAGAACACAACTGACACCTGAAACCACTGAGGCTACTTGTGTATTATAGGAATTTCTAATAAATATTTGTCGAGTTTTTTACAGGAAGTTCAGTGTTAGAATTTTATATTCTTTTCATATTCTTTGTATCTTTCAGGGTATAAAAAGGAACCAAAGGATATTAATGTGCTATCCTGGTTATTGTTATAAAAATGGCATTAGATGAAAATATTAAATATTCATGAAAATTCTTGTTTCCCTTAGGTTCCAGCTAGCAAAAGATGCTAAAAAAATAACTCACCAAAGGAGGAAACTATAAGGAGTATATTTTAATGTAACTGGTTTCTCTATTTTTCCAGTCCACTAATTTGTCTAATGTAATAAATGTAGCTATTATACATTCTCTATGAGGAAAAATCATCCCCATTAGAATCTGATATTCTTACTATCTGAGAGCATTCAATATAAATAAATGTAATAGATAAAGTTTATCACTTTTCCTAAGTTTGTGTTGTTAATTAAATGAGTTCTAACAAACATACTATTATTGCTGTCAATATCCAAGTATATATTAATCTGACATTTGCACTAAAAGTTATTTATCATGTTATTAGGAGATTTTTTGTTTTATTTGTGTTCTGTTTTGTTTGTTTGTTTGTTTTTCCTGTTTTTGAAAACTATTATCTATCTCAACAGGTCACTCTTTAATGAAGAAACATCAAAGCTGTTAAATACACCTTAAACACACCAGGACAAAGAAAATTCTAGTGACCAAGAATGGCTTCCTCTTGGAAACTGATTCTGTTTCTGTCAATCACTGAGTGTCTTTCAGGTAAAACACTTACCTAATTAATTATTTGATTTTCTTAATATCAAATAACAAAAAATATATTAAGGTGTCTGTTACAAAATATCTTATATAAATATAATTTAAATTTATATCAATATTTATAATTTTCAACAAAAAAGAAAGAAACCTTTAAGCCTCTATTAGCAATGCAAAAATTCATATAGAATTCAATATAATAAGGTAAAGTAAAAATGTTAATAAAGTAAGTGTTCACCTCATTTACTTTCCTTTAGAGTCTAAATCTTCTAGCCTTTAGAAAATATGGAGATTATATATAATATATATTACATGTTAAATATGTATGTATAAATATTATTTATAGCAGATAATTATAAAATTTTCTCATTAAAATGCTAAATATTACCATGTAAAAACAGAATCATCTTGGCTTTGTTATAAATATGACATAATTTAAAGGTATCTCTAACACAGTATATTTTTCTTGATTGTTTCATCATCTCTGACTGTTTGATTCTGTCTTATTATTCTATATTTGGGATCTAAAATGAGATACTTTATTCTGCAAAAGCAGTTGATAGTCTTTGGAATACTAATATTATAATACTAAAAATTAATATGTCAGAAATCATTTGTTTGAAATTATCTAAAATTAAATTGTAGTTATGATTTAAATGCTATGCATGTAACTTCTACAGCTTTATTAGATTTATCTCAGTGCCTATATTGTGAGTAAAATTTAAGAAGTATGTGTGGTAAGAAAGACTGAAATAAATAATTTCAGAATAAAAGATTGCTTTTAATCATAGGCATATTTTTAATGTTTTAAGTGTACTAAATATAATCTTAAAAAACAAAAAAATATTCATTTTTGTATATATGATCATTCATGAAAATATTGAGTAAAAATACATATATGTGTCATATGCATATATAAGGATTATACATCTATAAGACATATATTTATGAACATATGCATAATATATATAGCTATATAAAGTTATAGAACATGCATATTATTTACATATGGCCACAAATAGCCTTAACTTTTATATTATATTATATTAGTATGCAACAAAATATTTACTTGATCATGCTAAATTCCTTTGTTTCAAAGAACTAAACACATTCCCCTAACAACTAAACTTTTCCTGTATTGTGTATCATAAAGAAAACTGTATATTGCCTTAAAAAATGGCAGATAGAAGAACAAACCCAAATACAAGTAAATATAAATTTCTTTCAAAATCATTGTTTTTACACTATAATTTTATGACAATTATTCTTTAGCCTTCTTTATAGATAATTTACTATCTATAAAGTACCACCAGGGTAACTTCAACTATGTATGATATGAGTCCTCCTTAAAACTGAAAAGGTAATTCTGAATTTACAATCAGATTGTGCTCTGAAATCTTACTAGAATTCTAAAGGAATTTCTTTATATGCAGAGATAAATTTAGCATTTCAATCATATAGATTACATGTTAGGTGTTGAATATGATATCTATAACATACTTTCATTTATCTAAATGCTTTTAAAAGATATGTAAAATTCTCTTTCTTATTGCAATACTAGTGATTAAATAACTGAAAAAACAACAAACCAAATATTTATTTATTTAGTATTAGTATTATATGTTGAACACATTGCAGACAGGAAAAAAAACAGATTTAAAAAGAGACATGAGAGGCAGAGTGAGACCTCTATAAAATGTTGGTAGCACCATTTTTGACATTAAAAGGCAAGAAATTTCAAAGACATTAAAACTTAAATGAAAACCATGGTTCTCCAATATTATGGTTACTTTAAAAAGAAATAAAAAGTCTTCAGATATTTTATTCTATGTTAGGCTTTTCCTCTCTTCTACCATCTTCCCTGCTGATCTTAGTCTTTTATCTCCTCAATGTCATTCTCCTCTTGAACTTATAAACTAACTGATGAAGATGGAAGTAGGGTTGCAAGATGAAATAAAGGATGCTCAGTTAGGTTTGAATTTGAATTTTAGTTCTCCTATGTTCCATGCAATATCTTATTTCATTTTATCTAAAATTTAAATTTAACAGTCTGTCCAATGTTTTTATTTATTAATATAACAATGCTAGATGCAGGAGGATGGTAGTCTAACACCTCAGAATTTTATTCTCTTGTACTGTTCCAACACTGTTTTCTCAAATAGTCACTCCAAAATAGATATTATACTGGTTGTGGAAACAAAAATACTCAGCCTAAGGTAGGGTCCATGAATGCTAAATTTCCAGCTTACAAGGCAATCAAGTTGCTGTTCTTTCCATGAAGAAAATGAAATGTTAGAAGATAGAAATAATTAGGCTGAGCGGTAAGGAGGTAAGTGGTATTTGAAATTTTGTAGGCAAAGCAGAAAGAAAAGTTGAAAACAAAAAACATTTACAATTGTTAAATGGGATCTAATCTTTAATCATCATACCTCCATTTAATATGGAACAAATATTGTATATCAGTTACTTATTTTAAACAGGTGAGTTTCTTCTCTGCTGTAGATATCTGTTTAAAATAAAATTGATTAGATATTTGAAAGGATCAGTTATCAAGGATGATTATATTCAAATACTTTCTTTCACATTCATCTTCTTATTTTATCATATTTTTGTGTAGAGACCCCATTCTGCTCTTGTTACTTATTTAATACTTACATTCTGTATTTACTTAATAATTTTATTATTTAATATTTTATTCTTTAGTTTTCTCTAGTCATTGCTTTTAGTTGAATATCAGTATAACATTATAGGGCACACTGCCCTGATGACTGTTACATAAAATAAGGGTCATTAAGCTGTAGGTCATGAGTACTTTTGATGTTGTTGCTACTGTTTGAACCAACAAAATTGAAGAAATGAGAAAGACCAAGGTTTATTCCATATTTGTTGTATTTATTCATTTTTTAATGAATGGATTATCTCATGTTGTTTAAGTAAGAAATATAATAGGACTCTTATATAACCCTATGTTTGAAAACTGGCTATTGATAGTAATGAAAGGTTGGCAACTTTTACAGGGATATGAAACATTATATAAAAATGGATTCACAATTAAAACAAAAATGGATATCACTATACATATCAAAATGGCTACATTCCAAACAAATAAAAATTAATAAAGACAACTACAAAATTCTGGTGAGGATGCAGGGTGATAGAAACTCTCATTCATTGATGGTGAGATTGCAAACTGGTACAGCCACTTTGTATTGCATATAAACGTTTATAGGACCTATATTAATGTTAACCAAAGACTGGAAACAATAAAAATGTCCTTTAATAAATAAAGAGATAAACATCTTGTAGACTATCCATATAATGAAATATTATTCAGTGATAAGAAGGATGAATAAGTATGCCACACAGACACATGGATGGATTCTATTTACATATTGCTAATTGAAAGAAGCTAGTCTGAACAGGCTACATACTATTTGATTACATTTATGTGATACACTGCAAAAGGAAAAACCATAGAGACTGTAAACTATCAGTGATTGCCAGGGGCTAGGGTCAGGAGGATTACTGAATGTGTAATTGAAGCAAAAAACATTTTTTAGGGTGGTGAAACTACTTTGTATGATACTGTAATGAATACAAGACATTATGCATCCAAATAACCAAACCAAATAGAACTTCACGTCACACAGTGAAACTTAATGTATGTAAATTAAAAGAAAATTATTAGGCGATCATAGTATCCCAGGATAGAATGCAGAATATGAAAAAAGAATCTAAGTGTATTACCAAGATAAAGCGACCTCACTTAGGGGAGTTAGGGGAAAAAGTGACTTAAATAAAACTTTGGAAATGCATCTGTTAAAACTAAAGGCAAGTGATATTGTAGTTAAGTAAGTGCTGTATTCTAGGTAATAACATTGTTTCCCATGTTAGCAGTTCCAGTATACATGTATACTAGAATTAAACAATTAAGTCAATGGAAGGCAGATGGTGGGGACCAGATTTCTCATTGCTGGAGTGGGAGGTTACAGATAAACAAGGGAGCAAACTTAGAATGATCCATGTGGTAATGCATTATAGTTGGAGACTTCAGTATGAACTCATATTTAGCTTAACATAGATACAGATGGTTACATATAAAAATATTTATAGATATGTATACATGCTTGCTTAGTTATGCTCACATCTATTTTATTACTCTGACAGCTGAGAAAGATTAGAAGTTATGCATTTCTGTAGAAACCAGCACGCAGAGTGCCAAGATCTTGATATCTAGTATCATTTTTTTACTTAAAGGAACCAGGGCTATTTGGCGAAATAACTGATTCTAGGACTGAGCTAGGAAATATATATAAATTATTCTAGAGTATTCTACAGTTCCAGAAAGTAAAGAAATGCTAAAATAAACAACCAAAAGAAAAAGAAAAAAGAAAAGAATGGAAACAAACATAATGGGTAGAGAAGTATAGTGTGTCAAAAGGGTCACAGGAGCCAATGGGGAGAGTTCCCTATGTCCAAAACTGCAACAATTTGAGCAAAAAGATAAATAAATAAGTATTGGATTATAGCCCAAAAGACAAAATACATACTCATAAGTCCATATTGATATAAATAAAAGATTAAGCAATAAATCAGGAGAATAGACAAATTTCCATGCAGATTAATTTCAATTTATGTAACTATTTCATCCTTAAGGAGGATGGCGTATAATTACCCTCTCCTTAAGTGTTGGCTGTGCATAGCACTTTGTTTCCAAAGAGTATGGAATGAGAACAGAGGGAGTGGAGGAACCTGGTAAACACTACCTTGAGCACGTGAAGATCAAGGTCAACATCAGCAGAGATAAGTCATGTTGGTAGCACTTGTCATTGATATGAAGTGATGAGAATGACATCTCACCTCTGTGGTTTTACCCTCCAAAATGTATAACCCCAGTCTAATCATTAGAAAAATATGATGAGACAAATCCCAGCTAAAGGGCATTTATAAAACACCTGACCAGTACTCCTCAAAACTTTCAAAGGTCATTAAAGCTTAGGAAACTC